CTCCTCTTCTACACATTACTTACATCTTTCGCCTACAACTCTCACCTCTTCTTTCTGAGAATCTTTTAATGTTGCTGCGCCATGTATTCTTTATTGATCTTGAATTTAATTTTACAATCTAATTTCATACTTCAACAAAAGCTAGTATCAATTAATTTTATCATATTCTCCAAATCGAACAATGCATGTATATCGATGCAAGAAGAAAAAAAGATTATTGATCGAGATGAAAACAACACCAGATAAAAAGAAGTACATGAATGAATTTGAAATGAATAAAACTAGTCTGTTGGAGATGACACCACTTTATGACAAGATTATCATTATAAAATAAATTAAATCGATATAATAACGATTTCATATTGAATTGAACATAGTCCTGATTCATTTGTTCTAGTATAATGTATGAAAAGCCTTAACCCTTTTCTTCATCTACTTTTGATGTTTTATTTCTTAATTAGATATTTGTGATTTAGATGGTCATGAACTATCAACTGATATTACAAAACAATTTATTCATACTGATCAGATTCGTATATAGGGTGTGGGTGTGGATGTGTGTGTGGAGGGCAGAGATGGGTGTGCGTGTGGGGGTGTGGGTGCGGGTGTGGGATGTGGGTATGGATGTGGGTATTGGTCTTCATGCGCTCTATAGCTACCGCGACACCCACATCCGCACCCACCACACCCACACCCACACCCACCCACATCCACACACCCACACCCCACACCCACACCCACCTACACTCACACGCACACATCCACACCCACGCAATCACACCCGCATCCACACCGCACACCCACACCCACACACGGCCACACCTCACAACAACACCCACACCCTTCAACGATTCGAACTGAAATTTTTACCATTGATAGACTAGAGAACGGATAGTCGGTTGATGTAGTCTTTTCGGTTTGAAATGTCTTTCTACAAAAAAATTCACACAATGCACTGTTTTACATATGAATTACCCATTTATGGTACAAAAGTGAATATGAATATTTTGAGCAAAAATGGGTCTAGATCCTTCAAAAATAGCTTTATTTCGTTATTAAACTACTCCTCGTGAAATTCTGCACAAGGAAAGTCATGAATGAAAGGAAGCTGACGATGGTCCAAGAATGGCTCTTATACGCCCTCATTCTTTGTTTTCACAATAACTATATTTACAAAATAAAGAGAAAAACAACAATTTTGGGTACTTGTCAATTGATCACATGTTCACTGTTTTCAAGTTTTTCTTTCTACAAATGAATATGATAAAAAAAATGAATATATAGAATGATAGAGAACTTCATCTTGCATTGCAATCTATAATTGCTTTTTTTTTGAAAAAGAAAATTTCGATGACAGTAACAAAATAAAGTCTGTGAGAATCTAGACATGAAAGTGCTTTCCTTATATTCAATTTATTTTGGTAATGAACAAGTACTAAATAAAACATAAATATATAAGATGATAGAAAATTTTGCTTGCTTTCAAAATACGTAATTAGTTTTTCGAAAAATTTATTTTTATTGTGACAATATATGAGAAATACAAAATCTAACTATTTCTTTTCCGATGGTATATAACAAGGAGATAAAACAAGTCCTAAGCAAATACGTTTTTACCACCATAAATGTAAATTGTCCTGAATGTATTTAATAGAGTAATTGTTAAGTAAATTGTCTAATTTAATTAAATCGTCTACTTCTTCTAAACAATTCTTTTGAGACAATGAAATACATAAATAAAATAAATATTGTGTTTCATTATGAGTTTTTGATAATAAATACCGAATTATTGATCGAATTTCTGTTTCTTTGATTCCAATTTTAAGGTATTTTAATTTTGAAAATATATAAACAATGAATTGAATTTGATTCAATGAACATTTACCACGAACGACTAAATTTTCGATTTTATTTTCCGTTAATGTATATTGAAAAGGTATATTTTGTTTAATGACATTTAAATCAATTGTCCACATAGAGGATTCACAAAATTCTAATGTGTATAAATTCGGTGTTAAAAGTAACAATTTAATAATACGTTCGAATGTAAAATCAAAAGTTCTAATAACTAATTTTTTAAGTTGTTTTAAAGAAACTATATGATTAAGATTTGTTATAAATGCATCACCATCTGATATTTTAAAATTCGTTTTAATAGTTAATCGATTAACATTTGAAAAATATCTTCGACAATTGGATTTTATATCACTTCCCATATGAATATGCTCGATTGAATTTAGATTTTCTTGTTGATGATGCAAACCCAATAGTTCATCTATTTTCCAATGAAACTTATATTCTTTTCTTCTAAATAAAAATGAAATAAAGAATAAACTATGATGAAAAATGAATAATTACTTTCAATGGAATGAAAATATTCTCTTTTTACACAATGATTGTTTAAACTTTTTTTTTGTTTAAAACAATTATACAATTTGAAACTAGAAAATCTTTCTTTTAGCAGTTTTTTTTTTATCAAAGAAAAATAAGATTTGACATCACTGTTCTATCCCTTTTGGTATCATAGATTAATTTCTATTTACCGATACAGACCAGACGAATATATAACTCCACCAAAAGATTGATCGTTCCATTCATATTGATTTACAAAAAAACATTTATTTTTAATCCAAAAAGAAGAATTAAATTCAGTAACAACATCATGACATGAAATATCATATTCTAGAAAATCTTGACAATTAATATCAAACACACGTAAATATGGCATATGATATACGATTAATTTTTGCCAACGTTGAGTATCTAAATATGTTCCTGTATAATATGTCGTAAGATGTAAAATTTGCACATGATGAAAAAACTCTTTGATAATTTTCTCAAATTCATCAAAATGTATCATGCTAAAATAAATAGAAACATGCCGTAAACATTTTAATTGAATAGGAGATAATTGATATTCGATGTGAATATCACCCCACAAATGAAGAGAACCAATTGATAAATGTTGAATTTTAGGAAGAAAACATAACAAATTATGAAATGCTTTAAATGGAAAAGGAGCATTGATTATTAAATACTCTATTGGACTAGAAATATATTCAGTAAAAGAATAAAATAATTCTTCATAATATTGTATTTCATATTTAATTTTACAATATTTTAATTTTGATAAACGAAATATTTGAGCAAAAAGATAATCGATTTTCAAAATACCTTCGTCGAAAGATATAATTAATGAATGAAGATTAGGTAATTTCATAAAATAATCAAAGAATTTATAAAAACTAATACTTTCTACATTATCTATAATCAATGTTTCAAGATGAACAAATTTCAAATAGTAATAAAAAACGAAAATTAGAAAATCAAAGTAATATTTCATATTA